GATGCACTTTTCGATGCTCGAAGAAGGTGTTCATAATAGACAATCCGTTGTTTGCACAAAACCGCAAACATCTTCATGCCGTTATTGTTGAGGTTGCTGCGACCGTTGTTTTTCCAATCACGCCGTTCCATTTTTCAGCGGCTACTCTGACGTGCGCATTGAAATTGCTCATCATAATGCTATACTCCGTAATCGACACTTCGCAGGAAGTACCTCCTGTTTCCTCTGAAAGGACTCATATTTCCCTAGCTGGGCGTTCGTATCTGTAACAAGTCAAAGCTTTGCCTTTGGTAACTTCAGCCGGATTATCGCCCCCTTTCTTCTGACATGCTTCCGTTAAATGACTCTGTCAGCCAGGTTGGATACTACCAGAACAGCAACACCGGCCTTAACGCCTGTCGTGATGTAAACACTGTGATAGTTTACACGAGCAGATGTTCGTAATTCCAAAGCTCTTCTGCTTCGTTGACGAGAGTTCAACTATATTTTATCGATAACTTGCCGTCTGATGAACCAACTCCTGCTCTTTCGATTTGAGTGAGGAGCTGCCTTATTTCTTACTGTGAGCTCCAACGTCAATACTGTTCCGTGTATCCTTATCTAAGGTGCTGCAATGCATTGCCCTGTCTGTTCCTGCTTTCAAAACGGATGGCTGCTCTGTTTCTGACTTGTATCTTCATCGTCTTCTTGCCGATATTCAGCATCCAGAACGATGCTGCTGTTCCCCCAACTCAAGTTTTACGGGAGATCTCGCCATTTCCCCAAACGTCCTTCTTTCTACTGCGTGCTTGGGACCGACAACTGTACAGTTTTTGACATTTATTTTGTGCAATATCGTAATCGTCATGATTATGCATTTATTCCTGAAATTATTCACACTTACGTCTGAATTTCTAACTTTATTCTGCTTTTAATTATGATTTTAAAACGATTTCTCCACGTCGAAAAGTAAACGCTTTTGGTGATAGGAACAAGAACACATGACATCCTGGCATTTCCTTTAATTTTTCTCTTATTATTTCAGTAGAATCTTCTTGCTACCTGTGGCGAACTCAGGCGTACTGATAATCAGCTATTTGTAGTGCAACTCGTTTGATTGTTTGCATATGTTTACCACTGTATGTAACCATTTGCTGCACATCTGAAACAAAGCCTCAGGTGCAGTTCCTGTTCAAGGAGTAATGAAACTCTTCTCCCGAAGTTCAGCGACCAATTCTTCAGACAGATATCTGCCAGTTACTTAAAGAAGAAATTCCTAGACGATCTGCAATGACCTTGAAGGGAACTTGGGAACTATGCGAAAAATTTTGAGGCACAGGAAACTGTTTTAATGAGTGAAAATAAAGATCTTTCAGACTTAGGTCTTCTCAGTAAGACTTAGCAGTTCTGTTGGGTAGTGTACGAGAGAATCGAAAGAAGTTAAACTGAAGTTTGGTCATTTCACGAGCGCTACTATTGCCTGTTGCTCAGATGATGTAATCGACGTGCACGTACAGTCAACAAGCGAGTGTTCCTCAAATCCGAAGATAATTCGTCCGCCTCCGCTGTTCATATTTTACTCAGTCTCCTTG